ATGACCGCAAGTAAAGAATGCGTACGATACTTAACTATATTATAATACGTTCGCCAGAGTATTAATTTATAAATATATTATAATAATTTTTCGTGTGAAATTGTTATACATTATGAATATAGTATGCGTTATGGGCTTATATTATACCAATTGTGACTAACTATAATAAGCCATACATTTATGTATATGTATTATAAAGTAATGCGTGTAGTGAGTAAATGAAGCTAATTATTGTTAGTAGTTTTTGCAACAATGTACTTAAAAACTAAAACAAACACATATTATCGTAATTTATTACGCTAATAATTATTCAAATCGTTTGAGGTTTTTTTTTTTTATTAATTTATTCGTCTCGAGCAACCGCGTATTTCTCAAACAGAAAAAAAATCAGAAGAATAAGCTTATATAGCGTTATAGCCAATATGATTATATTTATTGTAGGTATTGATTATATTAACATATAACATAATATTATAGAGACATATACGTATATAGCATATACCATTATACCCATTATATAGCCACTGGTAGTCAGTCGTTTGATTCTCACGTAAACGTTTCCCACCGAGATTTACGATAAGTCCACAAATGACGGACGCGTTTTTCCAATCGTTTTGTCTAAATTGTTGCCAATTTCGTTAATAACGATAATATACATAATACTTATTATAAGTGACAATTATTTTTTTCTCTTATTTAACATTTTGACATGATGGGACATGTATAATGACGGTGCTGTCGTGTGAGTTAATATTATAATGATGTAGATTTGGTATATACCCATACGCGTTATCGATACACACATGCAATAACCCGATATAACGTTAGTAACATATTATTGTGTACATATATATGTATTGACAATATACGATACACATATTATAACCACCGATTTGCATAATGCGATGTCTTTTGTTTTAAAACATATAAATCAGTACCTATTGGTATTTTTACGCGCACACAACTCGTATAATAACAAAAATAATAATAATAATAATAATATCATTATGATCATGGTATATATTTTCGATGTTTGATTTCGTTTTAAAACTCAAATAATATTATAATAATATTCCCGAGTTTCTCCACTAATTACTAATAAAAAATGAATCAAACGATAAATCAAAAAAAACTAATTAATAAGATAGCTTATTGTTGTAATACAAATATAACCTGTACGCAAAACCTTAAAAGTCATTAATATCACATTGTTTTAACTGGAAAAAAATTATTGTCAGTCAATGGCCCCAAAAAGCCGAGGCTTATTTTAATAAACATTATTTTTTTTTAAATATTTTATTGTGATGAATAATTACGTCATCAGAAGTGTGTGTGCCTATAGTATTTTTATTAAAAGAGCATGTCCGATTAAAAATCAGTTTTTCGTCCGTCGCCGACGATTACGATGCATTTCACAGTAATAATAACGATTGAAGTTGATTACATTATATGCTCTAATGTAGCACACTAGCACAATAAGTGATGTAAAATCAATACGCGTGTCCCCTTAGGGCAGGCGCTATAACCATATGATTATAAACTCATAAACTCGAATGTTAAAAATAATAGAAAATATCGAAGTCTTTTTTTTTTAGCGGCCACTAAAAAATACGAGAGAACGTGTCTGCATATAGTTTTACATTATCACAGGACACAGCTATCGTCCTAAGCGAAATTTTTTACTATAACGCTTACTATTATCTTGCAAATTGAGTTTGCGACAGCGAAACCAGTTTATTTGCGCGCAACAGTATGTTATTATGTACCTATATTTATCGACGCGCTCGTGGTTCTGTATAATTTCGTATTCCAGTCAAGGTTTAAAATTAAATCGAAAAACGTTTGGACGATATTTTCCTTCCGATTTCGGTCCTATGCACACCGCTTACAGCGTATACTTTCGTATACTGAACGACAACACATAATAATTAAAATAATAAACATAATATAAATATAATATATAGGAACAACCAAAATTCTGTAACACAACTACGGCGAGTGTCTTTCAGTTATCGTGTTACGGCCGAACATACTCGTATATTTATTTATTTATTATTTATCAAAAGATTCGAGTGTGTGACATCAACATCACCGAAACACTTATCGAAAACAATAACGTTTATATTGTGATGGCGCATCTCTATAATATTATCTTTTGGTTAGAAAAAATTCAAATAAACATAAAAAACAGTCACAAAAGAATAATAATCTTTATCGGTCGTACAATAATAATAATAATCATAATCATAATCATAAATAAACCGTCCACGACGATTGCGGTTCATCAAAACGCACTCGGCGCTAATGGATTCTCATCATATACACATAGGTACCTATATCCCTTTGTAGCATGCGTCGAACGCGTACTGTGCCGTGCCCCCTCGCGCTTCGCAGATCATCAATCGTCGTGAGTATCGCGTCCTACATATAATATGCCGAAACCGACCGCGGCTACAAGTCAAAAGTTCGCACGGTGCATCGACTGCATCGCATTATAATATTACGTACGCGCAGTGAGCATTATCATACAGCACGCCTATACCTATGTACTGCTATTATTATAATTCATAATAATTATTATCGTTATTACTATTATGATTATTGTATAGGTACCCATCTAACACGCGGTTCACCCCCTCGCCGCGGAAACGCTTATTGTTTCATTATGCAAATGCCCCCCGCGCAAACAATCGCGTTTTAAAAAGCGCGCCAAAAAAATGTCATCGTCGTCTCGACGGCACAAGCGTATACATAATATTTACATAACTGACACATATCATACACACACACACACACACACACGAGCGTGCATTAAATCAATAGATGGTCGTTAACGCGTTCATCTCATTAAGCGGTGAAGTCGGGACCATTTTTTTCTCACGATTTCGACGTGTGTGTCTGTTTTTTCCGCGACTATTCTAAATCGATACCGTCATCACAATCAATATATCCCTATACGTGTACACGAAATCGTAAGTCCCGCCAGCGGGGTGCGCGCCTTCACAATAATATAATCGTACACCGAACATAATTTTCTAGACAATTTCACCACGCGAGTGTGCATTCCGTATTTCCGTATGTAAAGCTGATACATACATAAATATGAAGTACCATTAATACTGTGTGTGAGTGTGTGTATGTATGTGTACAATTGTTGGTTAGTTTTTTTGTTTTTTCAATCGTATCGACGACGGTGGTATATCGTCCTCATCATCAGAACAACAGCTGTCGCAACTTATAACACCGGTGCAGTTGTATTATATATAGGTATAAGTAAAATCGGCATATTTGAATACGTACTCGCTTGAAATATATATCTAAGCACCCCATCGATCTGTAGCAATTAAGACAAAAGAAAGATGAGTAATTATTTTTAACGACTAAACTAAAAAAACAACAATGACAATAGTAATAATAATAATAATAATAATAATAATAATGATATATAATACAAAAAAATCGAAAAAAAAATTAGGAAAGGCGCAGACGAGACGCCAATACCCGCGCGTCTCCTTTCGTATGTTCACTGCAGTTGTGCCAAGGTATACGCGCAGGATAATGTGATCGCGGTCGGGGTGACGCCAATGTTATTTTATTTTGCTTATACATTTATTATTATTTTTTTGTTCAACGTCTTTCCCTGGAGCCTGTCTGCCCCGAACGTGGGTTTATTATTGTTCGGGTGACCATTAATGATGTCAATAGAGCACAAACATACTCACGCTGCTCCCAAAAGGAAAAAAGGAATCGATTAAGAATGAGGCGAACAGAGAAAAAAAAATCGAATCACGTGCAAACTGTCGACTTTGCTTTTTATTGCGTTCGAGTTATAGAGTGCTATCCCCAAACCCATCAAATTACAGGTACACAAAGAATGAAACGAAATCAACGTTTGAAAAGAAATATTGCATAAAGATCACATCACAGGGTATACCTGAAGATCGTATTGCGTTGTGCACTGAAGTCATACATAAATAACCCATAAAAATAATTTTTTGAATAATGTATACATTAATTACGATTAGGGATAGGAATTATTAACATACATAAATATAATTTCAAATTATTAAGAGGGTATAATATACAAACGTTCTAAAATTAGAGTGTTATCTACAGCACAGAGACGCTAAAAAGGTATAAACATTGCTATCCTCTCGGTTTTAGTTTTACGACCCTCTGTATTAACTATAATGACGCCCCTTCAGGTCAATTCTTATTCGAACTAAAGACTTCAGTTACGCACGATAGCTATAAAAAAAAAAAGGTAGAGAAGTCACTACTCATATGTTGTAAACATGTATTTAAGTATTTTAATACCTACTATAGCCTGGTGGGTTGATCCAATTTCTTGTATGGACACATAATAGTGTAATGTGACGTATGTATAAATCGTGAAACCACAATATTTTACCCCAAAACAAAATAGGCGGTCTACAAGTTGGAATCGTAAGAATAAACTCAAAACGAAACTGCATTTGTTTTGATTAACAAATCAATAAGAGAAACAATAAGTGAATAGAATAAATAAATAATCAATTTATCCTTTTATAACTTTAAACTTAAACTATAAACTTTTACTGTGAGTTGTATGTTGCGATGTATAAAGTTTGACAATCACTTACCATCGGTACTTTCAAATAAAACGACATAAAATATCGAACAACACCTTTTGAACGAGTACAGCAAATTTAATTTAAACAAAACACATAAATAAAAGTTAGATGACTACACATGGCATTAGTATTATCTTAATAATCGATTAACTAATTAATTTACTATAAATTCGTAATTCTACCTTTACCTTATTAGTCACATCGCAGTTTATAAAAATGACGGATTTTGTATGTGTATATAATAAATAATATTTATTATTTAAATAATATACGTATTATTGAACAAGTATTATTTAATTTATTAATATAATAATTTACAATCGTTTTGGTGACTCTGAAAAGGCCCATTTTTTCAAATGCGAAGCAGCAGCAAACCAAATGAAACGCTTATTTGAAACCTGTGTATTTTATGACGGCCTTTATACCTTCATTAATAGCATGCTTAGCTAATTCTCCGGGCAACAAAATTCGTACGGCAGTTTGAATTTCCCGACTGATAATGGTCGAACGCTTGTTGTAGTGAGCAAGGCGACTAGATTCGGCTGCGATCTGTTCAAAAATGTCATTGATAAAGTTATTCATGATGCTCATAGCCTTTGAGGAGATGCCGATTTCGGGGTGTACTTGTTTCAACACTTTGTAGATGTAGATAGAATACGATCCCTCCCTCTTCGGCTTACACTTCTTATCGGACTTGAAGATGTTCTTTTGTACCTTACCGGACGCTTTCTTCATCGCTTTACTCGCGGATTTACCTTTTGGAGCCATTGTAAAAAGCGTTATAGTTGAATATTGATAGAATAGTGTAGAAAATATTCTTCAAAATACAGAATAATAACTTAATGGTGGATATAACAAAATTAAATACAATTCGTTTGTTTATTGGTTTAAATAGTGTTACTATGGCTGTATAAACTACATTAACCTACGATTTATTTTAATAAAAAAAAGTAGTTTCTTTATAAATATATTTCAAAATAATACTAATAAAAAACAGCATTTTCAATTACAAAATGTATTATTATTATTTCATATTATTTGAAATATTAGATATGTTCAATATTGTTATTTTGTAATATATTTAAATGAATCTTGTATAATTGTTGAACTTTAATAGTTACTCTAGAAGTTTATCAAAATATCGTATAAACTATAAAATAATAAACCTCGTAATGAACATTTGAAACTATTGAAGATGCATTAACTCAATAGCATTGATATAAGATATTGGAAAGCTTATTTGGTAGGTTTGTTCGAAGACACCATTTGAGTACCATCTATATTCTTACCAAAGAACATCCAAATGGTTCGTCATATTCACGAGTAGCATGCTTAATTCTTATTTTAACTATTAATTTAAAAATTCCATTTAGGGGTATTACAACTTTAATATTTTATATAAAGTTTCCAATTTCTATGAATATTTGAAATAAATACACTAAAAATTAACAATCTTTAAATTTAAAATTAACTCAGGAAAGATAAATACTTCTCTTCGTACTAAATGGTTTACAATTTTAAACCGCATAGTATAAAATTGCTTTAATATGACAAAAATTAATTAATAAATTAAAAAAATAATTAAAAATCATAATTCATCAAAATATATTATTTAAGATTTAAACTCTATAATTAAAACCGTTTTCGTTAATAATAATTTAACATATTTATTTAATAAGTTATGAGTGTTATAACTAAAAAAATTATTTTCAATCGTATTACTAAAAATTTTGCTCTAGATCAAATTGTATAACTTTTGATCAGACAAATAGAAAATAAAATTGATTTATAAAAATAATTAAATACTCGATCGTATTTAAAATCTATTAAAGGATTGATTCCATAAGATTTTTCTTCGACCAATGATCCGAAAATTCAGATAATATTATTTTAACCTTATACATATAAAAATACGACCACTGAAAATTAATCAATCCTACAATTATTAACAAATTGAAAATTATTTTCACTTCACATAGTTATTACTATCTACACGAACTACGTATTTTTCACGCAATTAATTCTACTTTTAAAGTTCCAAAATCTTTATATTATACATATAATTTAGTAAATAAAACATAATATTATATTTGCACTTTTTAAACTCAATATCTATATTATATAGTTACATAAAACACTATCTGATTTCACAATAATATACACGATATTATGGGTTATGTAAATAATAATCGTCTACGCATGATAAAGTCCATAATAAATCAAACAATTTCAGTTGATTTACTTTAAAGTTTATTTCAATACCTTGAAGCTTTCGTGTTATGCTTAAATCCTTGAACCTATGAACATAATAATAATATTCGCCAAGTAAACGTAAATCCTTGTTACAGCCCTTTTTAGTCGTTAAACGTCAATAATTCTCGTTATCGGTATTTCGTATCGATTTTAATTATCATACGATTTATGCAAGGTTCAGGCGGAACACTGTACCGGGCACGATTTTCTTTTTTTGCCGTTTTACTGTTTCGCACCGTTATGTTTTATAGATACCTACTTGAAGAACGACCTCTGAGCTTTTACTTCGCATTGTTCGTATCATTATTAAAATATACTATCGTAATACGTATCGCACGCGTATGCATAGATAAGAGATAGGTTCTAAGTATATAAGCACAATTTCTTCTTCGTATATCACATTAAAAATAATATTTTACGAATCTCTACAAGTTAACTTTTATTATTTCAAAAGTCGTGAGCTGTATTATATCATTTGTATGCACACGGTGGCGTACCTACCTATCGTCGATTTGTGTTCGTCTACAGCAAATCTCAGAGTAGGTACGTCATAAATATTACGCCTATAATGACGTATAAAAACTCTAATAATCGCGATATTTGTAAACACGACCAGTAGAAGTATAAGGTATATACGTATATATATAATATTATCTGTGGCATACCTGCGAATTTAAATCGATTAAATTTTTAGTCGGCGTTGAATCGCCGCACTATCATGTGGCCATCACAACGGTTAGGTTCTACCACGGTAACTTTTAAATACGTGTACAGTGAAATGCTTACTTGATATATTATTATGTATTTGCCGCATGTATAATATTAAGTTGACGACGCGGGGTTCGATAACCAGATTATGACGAAACGATGACTACCATGCGGCGGATAACTGGCTGTTTTATGTCTTGCGTAGACATTATGTATAATATATATACACATTTATTATCGTCGTCGAACCTTTTGTTGTCACCTGGGGACCAGGGGACCCCCTCCAAACGGATATAATCCTTAATTAATTAGCGGCTGCCGATATATACCAATCCGAGACGCCCCGTCGACAGTGCTGTATGTAGGGTCTTTCGTGCTTGCGCTTGCCTACATCAGACATTATATTATTATTATATCGGTGTAATATAATATATCGTACAATAAAGGTACCTAACCTATACGTGTATGTTTATACCGTCTTTATATGTCTCGGTGGTTTGACGCAACAATAAACTCGTTATTTATAACAAACAAACAAAAAGAATGAAAATAAAAATTTAAAAAAAAAGAACGCAGAGAATAAATAAATATATATTTTCACAAACGCGTATCATAATAATGTCGACTAGATACCATATCGTTGCATTGGGTTTTTTTTTTTTTTTTACTTTTGCTTTTTTCGTTCGCGGTTATTAAAGTCACGCGCTCGCAGGACGGCGGGGCAAACAATGTCCGCGCGCGCGGATGAGATACGGCCGGAGAAGTGTACGGATTTCATCACCGGCCGCGGTCGTATACATAATAATATGATATTATAGTAGTTATAAATATATATTATATTCAGTCGCCGTCATCGTCGTCGTTATCGATGATAAATGACTGACAAACCAGTGTGCATAGGTATAGGTAGGGTATATATACCAACCGAATACTGCACCGCTGAGACGAACACAATAGCGGATAACTGCAAACAAGTTTATATCGTCGTCAATTGTACGTATTATATTGCGTTATTGAACTCCGGCGAGCGCACTCGACTAGTTTATATATAATGTAATATTCCGAAGCCCTACCCCTGGAAAGTAATTTTTCACTCTGCAAACATTACGCAGGTACACGCGCATACTATTGGTACCAGTTTTGAACGCGCGCGCATATAATAGACTTTTCCGATATCATCATCATAGCATAAATGTGTTTGAGAACTTAAGCCTTATATAATATTATATAATACACATACGCGCGGTAAATCTCAAGTCCACATACATTCGATACCGGCTTTTGTGCGGCGAGTAAAGATTATTATATGAATAAAACTATCATCCGTCACTGATGCGTTCGGCAAACATATAGTTATTTTCGAGCACATAATATTGTTATTATCGTGATTTTGCATCAATGCGCACGAAAAATATACGACATTATTATGTTATTACTTCCATATGTACTTATTGCATTTGACAGAACATTATTATTTCTGGGATACAAAGAAAACGTTTATTGAAATACCATCGACTCGTACGTCGTAACGCGTACAGAGAATATATAGTATGACTCTGTTTCACGGTCAAATTTGTAAAAAATTCATTATACACAATATATTAGCGAAAAAAATGTGTAAAAATACCAGTGGAGAGGAAAGGTACGTCATCTCGCCATACATAGTCACATACTTATCATAGTAAGTAGCTTTAACTGATTTCATATGTGTAGGATCCTGCTGTATATTATATAATATATACCTATACCATATACTATTATAAAGGTATATTAAGTATTAACCGCGTGACCATGTTTGCTTTAATCGCGTACCAAAGTGAAATAATTTATTACCGAACGACGACGTTCCCGTATAAGTTATTTCAAATGTTTCCATAAATTGCAGAATTTATTAAGCACAAAAAATAATATTTTGTGTCATCGCATATATCGGTAGACATGCGTGAATATTATGACTTTATGAGCAATCGGAGTGTACACAAATACACCACGTATACACGGTGATTCGATACACCCAAATAAAATTGAGGAGCAGTAAGCGAATCCTTATTCGATGGATCTATCAGCCTATACAATATTTATATACGAGTACGTGCGCATGTCGGTGTACATGTTGAATTGTAAGATATCACTTACAGCACGGGAGACTGGCAATGAACATTAATATTATTATCGTTGTTTTTATTTTTTCTTGTCGATAGAGACTGTGTAGGACGTATAATATTATATGTTTACAAGGATTAGGCTTCCATGTTCACGTGTCCTCGGACGACCCGATTGCGCGCTGGAGACCGGTCACATAATATTATGTCCGGCCATCCTCGCGCATTATCCGATACGTCATTAAGATGTTATCGTGATTGTTATATATTAATATGTGTATGTGTATGTGTTTGTGTGTGTATTTAAACAGCCCAACGACCATTCATCAACATATCCTATTTTTGATGCAATCTCTCTCAGCGATAGGTAAGAGGAGGCAAACGACTATACCTATATGTTATTAAACATTCGTTTATTACAATTTATTTTTTTTTCTCCAGCACAATGACTGTTTGGTACGTCGTTTGTCTTCCGCGGTGACAGGTACGTTCTCGTCAAAAAAAAAAAAAAAAAAAACCGAACCGTCCGAGACCTGAGTACGATATTATTATTCTCGCAAGTTTTGTATACTTGTACGCGTGGCACGTCTATTTTTGAACGAACACGGTATATAATCTATTCCAGCGTTTCGTTACGGTAATAAATATTTAATATATTATTATAACATGTACATACATGACGATTTGAATAATTTTTTTTTTTTTTAATGCCACTTA